TTTGCAACTCATCTCATCTTTCAAAAAAGTTGTCTTCTAAGTCAATAAAATTATGTCAAATATATTCAAATATACTGAGTTCTTTTATACATAATACTTATTATGCCAAATAGAAAATAATTGAATCAAATTTTAGCACAGAGTGTACAAATCTATCACGGATAAGGAAAAAGAGTACACTATCCAAACTCCCGCATAACTCTTCGCCTTCTGTGCATAAAGAGGTTCAAAAAATTTAAACCCATCATCATCCTCTGCTACTGTCAAAATCGCCATACTCTTAATACTCTCAAAATCGCCATACTCGAATAAGTGCAGTTCGAGTTATTTGCAGGTGCCGGGTGGATTGATGTCAAACTGTATATTGACCACCCATGTGCCCTCCGATCCCCTAGTTTATCGCTAATTCATGAAGCTAATTGATATTGTATGCATGTGAAGGTGGGTAGTAACTTTGGTAAGGTTTCAGGGATACTAAGAAGAAGAAATGTCCAATTTATTGATTGAGATACAAAACAGGGGTATCCGTAGTTTTACAAAATTCAAATTTATCAAGGTCTTCATTTTTCAAATTCACGAACCAAACGACCCGTAAATGGGCCCACCATCTCGAAACGAATCAAATTCTCGTAAGCCCATAATTAAAACAAATCAGTCCATATTTTAAAGTCCAATTGGATAACAGAACATACTAATACTCGCCCATATAATTGTTTTCAAGTTAAAGCTAAAAATGGCCAAAGTTAAAAAAATAGAAAATTAACCACGCCAGGGAAAAGTAATCAGTTTTTTCCTTTATATATACTAGAAATTATTCGCACCTTGTTGTGCCCATATGATTAGAAAACAATGAAATGTGCTCATTAGCTATTACTATGGAGTATAGAGGAAGTGAGAGGAAAATAATAATGGGTTAAAAAGATTAGGAAATGGTTTGGTAGCACCGAAAGAGGTATATAAAGCATTTTTAGTTTTATTCACATAAGATTGAAAGTTATTCATGCAAACAGTAATGTATACGCAACCTAATGTTTATTCAAGCATATTATTATTTATTCGTGTAGTTGTAAAATCAATTTTGGAATTTCAAATTCTTTAAAAGTGAGTTGCATTGATCATAATATACACAATAAAATTCATTTTAAAATTTTAAATATATTATAATAAATTTTAATTTGCAGATTATGATCAATGCAACTCATTTTAAAGAAATTTGAAATTTGAAATTTAGCTTCATAAAATATAGCCAATACTAAATATTAGGGGGAAGAGAAAACTTATTAAGTGAATAAACATTGAATTACGTGATTTATCACCTAATGGCGTGAATAAATGCCGAATAAACATCGAATTACGTGATTTACCACCTAATGGCGCGAATAAATGCCAAAATGCATGAATTAAGTGTTTTGGCTCTATAGATGCCACCAAACCTTTAAAGAGAAAAAAAGATAGGTCAAACAACTTTCTTAAGTGAAAATAAATTGAAGAACTATGGACCGCCTATGTTTAAAAAAAAGAATCAAAGACCTAGAAATTATTAATTTATTTTTTCTTTTTCCTTCAACCCATAAAGCCATAACTCATTTCTAGCGAGATCTTCCTCCCATCTCTTCATGGCTTGCTTCTCTAATCTCTATCAAACAGAAGTGCAATGGATCTAAAAATTGGAAATATAAGAAGAATGCACACATAAATACAAACCCGACCCAAATTTCAGAAGTTAAAAGCCCATCAACAGGCCCAATCAGCAGGAGGGTTTTCTTGCAACGCTAGCTAAACTATCTTAGTGAACATCAACAGGAATTTAGGTTTATATATAGTAATATTCTAGATTAGGGTCCGGCCTTTTGCCGGGAGAGTTTGATTTTCATGTATACGTGTAGTAAACATTGAGGTATATTTTTTTATGGTTCATATTGTTGAGGATTGAAGTAACTATTTAATTTGGTAAGTTCTCCATGAATAATATAGGAAAGTATTTAATGTATGACAAACAACGTCCAACTACACTTACATAAATACATATTTTCAAACAAATATCATATCTATAAAAATGTCTAAGAAGAACAATGATAAGAGTTGTTTTACATCATACATGCATAATCAATCTTCAGTATACGATAAAAAATTTGTCTTTTCCATTTACTTGGGTGTATTCAATGATATAATGAAACAAAGTATATGTTTAGAGTGTCCTTAAAAAGAAACAAACTAACTACCACAGTCATGGTTCGAGTGGCATTTTCATATAGAAAGCTAAATCGAACCGAAAAGAAGGCAAAAACTAAAAGCAGCATACCTAACATTTTGGGGGAAATCCACAATAATAAAAGTCATTGTAGCTCTTATTGAAGTTAGAAAGACTTTGATTTAATGGTAAGTAAACAATGATATGTAGTGCTTAAGATGGAAGATGAGACCTTACATTGTTTATTAATATGCATCTTAGTTTCATAATTTTTACATCATTAAAAATTTATGTGTTGAATAGAAACCCATCCATGTTTGGAGCCATTGTAAAATGTAAGTTATGAGGCAAATGAGAAGTCTCAAGCATCCACATACTTGAAAAAATAAATCTATATTATCAAAGATAAAATCATATCTTGCATAAGAAAAAGAATATTAAATTAAACCCAATGTAAAAGTAACGATGAAAATAGATATTATATCCATCTAAGGAATAATAAAGTAAGTCATGTTTCTTAGAGACCTCTCTCGATAGAACCACTCTATTATAAACCCATTCCGTCAAACAATTGTATCATATAGAGTTTTAACTTAAATTGAAGTGATGATAATTAGCTATTTCAGCTCATGAATGAATTAATTATATCATTTGGTAAAAGAAAATAATTTATAAACTTGAGAGTTATTTAGTTTGTTGTTAAATCATTTGAACTAAAGTATGAAAGTGCTTTAGAACTGTTATTTTATTCATTATTATCAAAAATTGCGATTTTTATTATATTGTCTAAGCATGTCTAGGCGAGCTAGGAGATAGACAAATGGCCAATGACCGTGTTACGCCTAACGTGCTACTGAACCTCAATAATTATAGCAACTTTGAGAGCATCTTATAAATTTGATCACTTCTATTTTGGTAAAATTGATTACATTATGAAAGCGATCAATCAAAGAGTCTTTCTATACGATTTTGATAAGATGTCCCCCTACTGCACAATTAGTATGACTAAATCATAATAAGATAATCATGTATTGAATTTTGAATTGAAAGCGCAAAAGATTGTACTAACTCAAGTAGAGTTTTAGCTACTCAGTACTTCATATTCACATGTCATTTGCTAGCTACTTCAAAGAGTTCGAATGTTGATTGAGTTTGTTGAACTTTACCTAACAAAACTATTATATCAATCGCAAGATATGATGCTTTTGGATAAATTGGGAGAATAAGTTGGTGACATCAAACCTAACATGGATACCGTTGGATTTAAGTGATAAGCAACATTTATGGTCAATAGATTAAACATGAAAAATATATTAAGCATTCCCATAAATTGGTAGGAATTAGTGAATAACTAGGAATTGGAAGCTAGAAACAAAGTTGATTTAATAAATAACTGCAAATGATAACGTGTAAACGAAAACAAATGCTTAGAGCATAGCTAGGCATGAGAGTGCTACACTAAACCCTCAAAGAGAAAGCAAGTAACCATTAATAGTTAGTTGTGGATGTTAAAATAGTTAACTATGATGAATAATATATACTGGTGATTAATACTTGGAACTTAGCTTGAACATTACATCATGCTGATAAAAATTATTTCATTAATTACATTATTGAAATAATGGGTCGTATGGAAGTCTTGATTGTTTTTGTAAGATTGTTAAAATAAATACATATTTCATAATATAATACTTTTTTTTTTCATACACAATCGTGAATTATTTGCTTGATTTAACTAAACTATCACTCAAATTGAATGATTAAATAATTTCGAATTTTAGCATAGACTGTCGAGATAATTAGTATCGGTGTTTGACATGTTTATTTTTCTTGAAATATATGGTACCACTATTCTTATGTCGTCATTGAACACTTCATCAACACTTCAATTCAATACGCAATATTCCAACCAATGATATTTGTGTTGAGATTTTAAAATTATCCTTCATTTATAAATTATGAAAAATTCTAAATTAATTATTAAAATATGAAAATAGAAGTATCAAACACCACAAAATACTTATAGGAGACTTAGCGGGCTAACTAACCGTGATAGAAAAGTACTCTATTTTTCATAATTTTTAACTTCCTTTATGTTTTGTATTAATAAAGTACAACAAATGTGTCTAGTCTAATTAGTTACAATTCTTGTCTTTGATGGAAGAGACCACGGTTCAAATTTTAGCATTGATATCTTTTTATATGAAATAAAAAATTAATTTGTAGACGAAAATACCCTTCCTACTTTCACGGAAATTTGAAATGGAGCAAATCAACCTCTTTAAAATCTATTATTATAAGTAGTGTAGATTAATTAGTTAATATGGGATCTAAAACTCGAAATTACAAAACTTCAACGGAATTTATGGTGTACGTCATGTTGATATATAATAGAATTCTCCACTTCTGATGCTTACAAGAATTGTAAAGAAAAACCCCGGTGCGTACATGAAAAAGCTCTGGTCAACAATTAACTGGTCTTCTTTGATATGGACCGATGCTAGCTAAGAAATAGATTATACCGATACTTCCAATATTTAGCCAATCATCGATTGATCATTACTGGTCTCCAGAAACTCCCTTTTAATAATCCGATTCCGTGAGTGACAAAGACCAGAATGTTGGAAGCTCAGTCCCTTGTTGCTCCGCCGAATATTATAGGAATGTCTGTTCTGCTTGTTTTCATATCATTAACCCGTCATTTTTAGGATTATCCCTTCTCTGCCTCCTTGTTTCTATCTCCACCAGCCTCATTAGAGCCAAAAACCTTTCCACTATAAATAAAGATTGCCCACTGCATATCTCCATTGTACCCAACTAATTAACAAGGAAAACAAATCGTGAGAGTTACATTAATTGTCAGGAGAAAGAAAAGCAGAGACATAATTAATGACAATGGGGAAAAACAAAACCACCATAGTTGCTGCGCTTCATCTGCTCCTCGTCTTCACTTTGGTTCTCCGTACTACTGGTAAGTCCATTCACAAACAGCACTAGTTGTGATTATAGTAACTCATATTGGCTCGATTGATATACGTACGTACGTACCTGCATTATATTGTGACAGCTTCCATGAAGCCGGGCAAAGGGCTGATCCCACGTCGTATTGCTCCTGCTGCTGCTGTTCTAGGTGAGGCTTCGTGCGACAAAGTTTATGGAGTAGAGGGTGGAGACACTTGCTCGTCTGTGGTGGAAAAATTTGAGCTGAATCAAGACGAGTTCTTGGGCATCAATCCTAATGTGAACTGCGATTCCATCTTTGTGGGACAATGGCTCTGCATTTCTGGCACCGCATGAAATTGATCCTTTCCCACCGATTACTACTGCTTAATTAACGTGCATGGAGATTGAGAAGAAGCAACTGAAAAAGTCTCTGCCTCGCTTCTTCTCTTCGTATCTTTTGTTTTCAATGTGTGCGTTGTTTTCCCTTGTGTATCGTTTGCAACTATGGCCGGGTAATGGGGAAAGAAAAGTCCGCCTTACCCGACCGGCAACTGTATTCGGATTGGCTTTGCTTTCTGTACCAATAAAATAAATTAAAATGTTTTTTTTATACAAAAGATAATCTTATATTAATTCAAAAGAGGTAGATCGTTACATCCTGGAATACAGTCAGACCAGAAAATTAAAAGAACGACACGTAGACGGGTATAAAGAAAAGGCTTTTCTAGCCACAGCATGAGCTACCCTATTGTTATTTCGTCCTACAAATCGTAAGCTAAACCCCGGGCGAGAAGCAAGAAGCTGTCTAATTTCCCCCAAAATCATCCCAACTCTACTATCTCTTGTATCTTCTTGGTTGATCTTGCCGATGATGACCTTGGCATCGCCTTCAAATCGCACAACCAGTAACCCATTGGTCACGCACCAGGAAAGAGCTTCCCTGAGGACGAGGGTTTCCACCACCAGAGGATCATCAATAGAGTGAAAGCAAATGCCTTTTGCAAAGAGGACATCCTTCTAAGGGCCAAAAAGAACTATCCCGCCTGCCGAATGAGACCCATCCCTTGTTGCTCCATCCCACATACACACCAGCGAGGGACCCGCAGGCAGCCCAGGTGGAGGGGGAAGATGATTGAGACTCAGAGTCCCCCTATCACGCGGCAAACGCTCCCACTCCTCACATTGCTGGTGATATTGGCACATCAAAGCAGGGAATCCAAATTGCTTGCCTTCAAAGACAACCCAATTCCGGAATTTCCAAATCCGCCACAAAATAGCCACCACAGATAGGACAACAGAGGGCTGATGGATTAGGGAAAACAGCCTTTTGAGAAAAAGGGGGAAAGTTTGGCGGGGCAACCCTTGCCCGAGATGTTCCAGACCCGCGTAGTCTCACATGGCCCGAGCCACTGGGCAATCCAGAAACAAATGCTCCATAGTTTCTGATACCCCCCAGCAGACCGTGCAACGAGGAAGAACAGGGACACCTTTCTCACGGAGGGCCTTTGTAGTAGGGAGGATACGATTGAAAATCTGCCAGACAAAGACTTTTAACTTGGGAGGAATATTAGCCTCCCAGAGCGAAACCCAACTTGCTCTATCCATCCAGCTAGCTGTCGACTTCCAGTCGCCTGCCCTCTTGTCCAGGTCGACAACTAAATGGTAGGCTGACTTGACAGTGAACACTCCATCAGGTGTGCCATGCCATATGAGCTTATCTACCATATTTTGTCTCGAAAGAGGAATAGAGAGGATCGCACGGCAGGTGGGTGGGTCAAACCATTGACTCAGTTTAGTAGCACACCAACCCCCCTACTTTGATCAATAACATCCGCCACCCACGGATCACCCCCCCCCCCCCTCCGGGAACACCTGGGGATTAAACACCGGGCGGTCCGGATGCAAACTAGGGATCCAATTCGAAAAAAGAAGAGATGTCGACTGGCCATTACCAATTTGCCACCGTAATCCTTTCTCAAGCAGCTGCCTTCCAAAGAGGACACTTTGCCATCCCCAAGACTATAGGTGTCAATCGGGCGGGTTCGGGCGGGTTCGGGCTGGGTTCAATCGAGTTCGGGTTCAAACGGGTTGCGGGTTCATCGGGTTGCGGGTTTATCGGGTTCGGGTTCATCGGGTTCGGGTTCAAACGGGTTGCGGGTTAGTCGGGTTGCGGGTTCATCGGGTTCGGGTTCAATCGGGTTGCGGACAAATCGGGTTACGGGTTCATTGGGTTTGAGTCGGGCGGGTTGCGGGCGGATCGGGTTGCGGGTTGTTCGGGTCAGCGCATCGAGTAACTTACTCCTTACTTGTTACTTGTTACCAACTTACACATTTTATTACACTAATTTAAAATATTTAATTTTGTCAATTTTTAAACAATTTCTTTCTACCTCTTATATATACTTAATTTTAAAAAAACTAGTCAAAATGTTTAAATCAATTTATATGACTTGCAAACTTGTTATGTAATTAATCATAATTGGTAAAGTACACTAGCTAATAGTAATAGTTTTATCAACATTTGCAACCAAAAGACACCATTAATGTTATTTAGTATTTTAATATTATTTCAGTAGTAATTGGATTATAATATCTCGTTTAGAATAACCATGTAAAATTGTTGTTACTTCAATCATAATTTACTCAATAACATATATCATATACACTTAGCCTTACTCTCAATCGACAATATTAAGTTAATATATGTTGTTGATCGTACACCCTAAACCATCAATATATTATACACTAACAACATACCCTATACCCTAACCATATATCCCTATGAGTTGTGATTTGGTAGTATAGTTAATTTGAAGTGAAATTCATACTTTTATTTTCAAAACATAGATAAAAAAGTGATATTTGCCGTAACCATATATCCTATACTCTACACCATATACCATATACCCTGTATCCTAACCACGTACCATAAACATAAATTAAAAAGGGATCTCTTGATGTTAAATATTTTAAATGACTTCAAGTGAACATATGTTATTAAAAAATTTAGAACCGTCAAAACCATCACTACATTATACCCTAACTATATACACTCTAAACCATCTGTACCTTATGCCCTATACCCTGACTATATATTTTATACCCTAAACAATGAAACGTCAAAAATTACTTATCAAGTTTAGTACAATTGTTGGCTCATATTCACCCGCCCCTAAATTTTCCATTCCAAAGTCCCCATCTAAACCTCCCTCTCATTTTCCATTCGAAAGTGACCCGCAACCCGATTAACCAAAATTTTCAAACCCGCAACTCGACTGAGTTATTGCAATCGTAAGACTTAACATGCCAAGTTTAACTCCCATTTTGAAATGAAAGTTCAACTTGAACACAATTTAAATGTACGAAAATTTTACTAAGTGTTGTAAAATAACGATCATGTAGTGTAGAAATTGCAATAAACATGAATTGAAAAGGGATATTGTTATATCCTAACCATATATCCTATACTTTACACCACATACCTTGTACCGTAGCCACGTACCATAAACATGAATTGAAAAGGGATCTCCTGCCGTTAAAGACTTCAAATGACTTCAAGTGAACATATGTTAATAAAAAACTTAGAACCGTCAAAACCATCAATTCTTATACACTAACCATATACACCCTACCCTGACCATATACTTTATACTTATTTCATTTTCATAATCAAAAGAACCAAATTTTCCCACTTCATTACAGGAAAACTGATTTTCAGTCACAGTAACATATTCACGGTAAGTTTTCCCGTACTAAGACGTATACTACTAGTCACAGGAAAAATTACAGTAATTGATTATATAGTTCTAATCACGGGAATGGATTTCAAGTTTTTTAGTTTTCATTTTCCGTGATTAATTGTTTAGTCACAGTTAATTACCGTGACAATATCATAATTTACTTTTGCAAATTTCTTAAAAATAAAGAAAGACTGAAAATAAAAAAGAATTTCATATCATAAGACAATAAATTTCAGCTCCCTTACTAATAAAAAGAGTATTTATAATCGATGTAATTTATCTTCCTTTTGATCACACAACTCAATAATTGACATCCAATAAACACTTACAGCTCGGTTCTAAGTATTTATAATTCTCGTTAAATTTGGAATTCCATTATTTTTGCAAACAAAAAATTAGTGGACAACAATTCGGGTCTCTCACATTTGTTTCCCGCTCCACAATTCCAAAGTTTGACTAAAAAAAGTTTGGCTCCACAATCCCAAAATTTGCCTCCAGAATTAGATGGCTCCAAAATTCCAAATTTTGACTCCAAAGAAATTTGGCTCCACAATTCTAAATCTTGCCTCCAAAAAAAGATGGCTCCACAATTATGAAATTTTGGCTCTCCTGCTCCCGCAATTACATTTATCAAGAAAAAACATATCTCCTCCCTAGCCAGTAGCCACACAGCCACACTTCATTCGTTCTCAATAAAAATTGTTTGGAGACAATGATAGAAAACAATGATCTCAATTATTAATTCTTCATTATTAATATTGACATTATGTTGATTTTATATTTACTTTTTTAATTTTGTTAAAGAACTTAGTGTTCAAGTGACCTTCATGTTTCAATTTTGTAATTTTCTTAAAATACATAATACCAAGTGAGTTTCATATTTTTTAAATTTCCTATACGAAATGAAAAAATAATTTTACCTAAGTTTAGAATGAAAACCTTTATTTTGAAAAACTATGTATTGTATATTATAATAATTATTCAAGTGGATTAGATGAAGTTCGAGTTGAGACGGTCGGGTTACGGGTTAGTCGGGTTCGGGTCAATCGGGTTCGGGTTAATCGAGTTGCGGGTCAGTCGTGTTGCGGATCAATCGGGTTCGGGTTAATCGGGTTGCGGGTCATTCGGGTTGCGGGTTAGTTGGGTTGCGGGTCAATCGGGTTGCGGGTCAATCGGGTTGCGGGTCGTTGACTTTTAGTCAATTCGAGTTGCGGGCGGGTTGCGGGTCGGGTTGATCAGGCGGGTTAATCGGGTCGGGCTATGTTTTGACACCTATACCCAAGACGAGCGTGAACGCGCTTGGGCTTGCATAAAATCCCATTCAGGAAATATTTACCTTTGTACACTTGAGACAGTAGGGATTGGGGCTCCTGGAGGATTCGCCATCCAATTTTAGCTAGTAAAGCCTGATTGAAGTGCGCAAATCGTCGAAAACTCATTCCCCCATCATGCTTATTTCGACATATATTTCGCCAGGACATCCAGTGGACCTTTGACTGATCGGCAGTCACACCCCACCAGAACCGAGCAACATGCTTATCCAGCAGCCTACAAAGGGACAGCGGCATCTTGAAGCAAGACATAACATGCAGTGGCAATGCTAAAGCAATGGATTTAATCAGTGTCTCCTTCGCCGCCCAAGTTAAAGTATGCTTTCATCGACATGATCAAAGCAAGTTACAATCTCTAACTCATACATGGAGGAAAGTTGCATATGATCGATACATAGGGGGAAAATGTTTGCTTTTTTATAATTTTAAAATTCGTTACCAATTTTTACTTCAAATGGCATAAGTTTCTAGTATCACTACAAGAAACTGCACTTTTTGCGACGAATATTTTCGTCGCAGAAAGCTTAAAATTCTTCGCAAAAAGGTATTCGCGACGAGTTTCACCGTCGCAAAAGAGATCAAGCTTTCGTCGCCTATACTGCGTCGCAAAAAGTTTAGCGACGAAATATCACCGGTTCGTCGCGGAAAGTTGCTTTCGTCGCAGAAAAGTAGATGATTTGGCGACGAACATATCGTCGCCAAAAATGATCAATTGGCGACGATGAATCCCGTCGCGATAAGAAGTTAATTTGCGACGACGAATTCGTCGCTAATAGATGAAAGCTTTTGCGGAGTTGCTTACGATTTATTTTTCTGTAGTTTTATCATAATTATTTATGGTCTCAATTAAATATAATTAATATTTACTTTCTCGTTCATTTTTTGAGTTATTTCAATTTTGTGTTCTTGTCAAAATCAATTCATCGCCTCATTAAATATAAATCTCAATTTCGGCTGAGATTAGCCCAACTACCAGTTCCAACTTTAAATCATGTCCAAACACAGATTTATACAGCCGAATCCTAACCAAGGGTTTTAGAGAATATCATCAAAGCCTCTTTCATTCCAAACCTACAGAGAATCAAGTCAGAATCTGTAAAAACAAAATAACCAAAGAAAAATCGCGTTATACCTCTTAGCGGTGGCTGCTGGTTCTTCGCCGGCAGAGCGGGTAGTCGTTCACGGCCACCGACGATCTAACTGTCGTCTCCGAATTTCCCTTTCAGATCCCCTCATCGGAGTTAAAGATTAACCAAGAAAATAAAAGAAAGTCAGAACCCCCTTGAAAAAAAAAACGAAATAGAAAGAAAATAGATCTGTATGCGACGATCTCACCTATAAAAGACGGTATAGATCTGTCGTTTCTTTGAGAGAGATCGACTAAGGATGGGTCTCGAAGGATCGTGTTTCCGGATCGAGAGGCGAATCGGGAAAAGCGATATCCAATCATGGCTTCTACAATCAGGGGTTGGCGACGGAGGGGATCTGCCGAAACCAGAGGACCGTCTTGACCCCATCTTTCGTTAAAACCAGAGGAGAGTAAGGAAAGAAAGAGATAGGGTAATCGTGGAAGGAGAGGCGAGAAGGAGCGGCTGCCGCTTAGGGTTTGTGTTAGCCCAAAATGTAATATATAGCCTTCCAAAGAAGATAATTTGCCCTTAAAAGTTCAAAAAAATTACTACACCTGCCACCGCGTTTTGGTTAAACTACGAAATTACCCTCCTTTTGCCTATCACTCTATTGTATACAAAAAGAAAAACAAACACTAAGTGATAGATCGAAACCGTGACCTCATATTAGAATACAAGCAATATACAACATGCCCTCCAATTGCGCCACTACACCAAACTTAAATCAATTTTTTCAGTTTAAGAATATTATTATCTCAAAAGACAAACAAAACAAATAAGAATTAAGTTGAAAGAATAATTACTAGTTTAGATTAATAATAATCAGTCCGCCGTTTCAAAAATCATTCAAGATTTGATTTTGCTCAGAGTATCAATTTCATCATCATATTTCATCATCGTATCAACTTATTCATTAAATACATATATTAAACATATTATATAAGTTTTGTACATGTTTAGTAGGGGAGCTATCAAGTCAAATGGAGAAAATGAAACTCTTTGACAATAATACGAATACAGAAGTTTTAAACAAATAAAATACATATGGGTACATATATGTGCATTAAACGAAGTATTTACTAACTATAGTTCCAATAATATAAAAATTCTTGAAAAATTATTTGACGACTGAAAGACATCACAAAGTCTCCAAACATTCTGCGAAGACAAAAATCATTGCAGAAGCCCCTAAACATTTCGCGACGAAAGGCCATCGTCGCAGAAAGTCCCGAACATTCTGCGACGACCTACAATCGTCGCAGAAAATTTCCATACATTTTGCGACGAGAGATAACCGTCGCAGAAAGTCCCGAACATTCTGCGACGACCTACAATCGTCGCAGAAAATTTCCATACTTTTTGCAACGTGATATAACCGTCGCAGAAAGTCCCGAACATTCTGCGACGACCTACAATCGTCGCAAAAAATTTCCATACTTTTTGCGACGAGAAATAACCGTCGCAGAAAGTCTCCATACATTCTGCGACGATAGAAAACCGTCGCAGAAAGTCTCCATATATTCTGCGACGAAGGATAACCGTCGCAAAAAAATTTCACACATTTTGCGACGAAAAAATGAAATTCGTTGCAAATTCTACACTTTCTGCGACGAATTTTGTATCGTCGCAATAGAATTCGTCGCAGAAAGTGCAGTTTCTTGTAGTGTATTGGTGGCGACATGCTAACACTAATTATAAAAGTATTTTAATGTTTTCATTTAAGTATAAAAATAACTTCGTGTTTCATTTCAATCGATAATCACTTGCCGTCCAACTCCATTAATTCCATTTTAGGTGACAGTTAACTACTATGTTTAACCGTTAAGTTGATGACGACATGTGTTGGTCGGCCATGACATGTGTAAGCGTTTGTCAAAATCACGACTTCGTCTGTATTTGTCATGGGTGGAACCGTGACTTTTGCAGCACCTGCAACATGTGCAAAAGCTCTTAGAGCTCAGTCGAATCTCACGGCCTCTTCTGCAAATGTCACGACTTGGGGCATAACATGTGGGCTCTGGACCATGACAGGTGTCACCTTGTTGTCCTTGTGCCGGTTTCTTCTCCAAATGGTGGTCCAATAATCGCTCCTTCGCCTTAATCACGACAAATACTAAGTTAAACGATCAAGGATTGGGGCTCTAAAATGTATAATTAAACCCGAATCAAGTTAATTATAGGGTTATAGGTATAATATGCCCCTCTACTATGACGCTTTATCAAACATGCCCCTCTACTATTTTTAACATCAAACATGCCCCTGTACTTTGTAAAAATGATCAAACATGCCCTTTTGTTAAAATTTTCATCAAAAAACCGTTAACTAGACCTGGCAATCGGGTCGGGTCATGTTTAGTTGGCTGATTTTGGGTGAAATATTGACCCAACCCATTCGGTTTTGGGTCGAGTTACAGGTCATTTTGGGTTATGAGCATTCTCAGAAACAATATCAAACATGCTTCATATTTTCTTACAGAACACAAATGTTCACATATGCATGACAATAGTTTACCTAACACATGTCAATCAACATATACTCAAATCCTCCCATGCTAATGAAATGAAATACAAATTGCGCAAATCGTCAAAAAACAATCACAAGAGTAATACTACTACAAGAAATACATGATATTTGATTATCCTTAAACTCCAAAACATGTCATTCAAATCCTTGTGATGTTTTTTAAACATCTCACCAATTTATGAGTGATTTTATCATTTTGGGAGGTCTAACGGGTCGACCCGCTAACCCACCTAACTCGACCCAAAAAATCACGGGTTATCGGGTTCAGGTCATTTGGATATCGGGTTACAAAAATTTCAAGTTTTTGGGCGATTTTGGGTCGGGTCAACGGGTCAGGTTGTAATTTGCCAGGTCAACGAGTCTGGTTGTAATTTGCAAGGTCTACCGTTAACCAAGGCTGAACTTTAGTTTGGGAGACACAAATGACTAAAATATCCATAATAAATTTCTTTAGAATTTTTTTGGTTCCTTTGTATAATCGAATCATTCAAATAATTTCACTTTGAAAAAATCCAGTAAATAAAACAAGGGATGAAATTGACATTGTTCCTCCCATTTGCCGATGTCGGGTCGTCTAAATCCCGGTTCAACCATAATTAACGATTTTTTTCAATGGAAAGTTTAACAGAAGGGCATGTTTGATAATTTTTTCAAAGTACAGGGGTATATTTGATGTAAAAATAGTAGAGGAGCATGTTTGATAAAACGTCATAGTAGAGGGGCATATTATACCTATAACTAGGGATGGCAAAAATATCTGCAACCGTGGATATCCGCCCGAATCCGACCTAATCGGGTTGGGTAAAACCCGAACTCGAAGGACTTTTAGTGGGTACGGGTAAAACCCGAACCCGAATATTGCGGGTAATGGGTGGGCATGGTTTTCTCACTATCCAACCCGAACCCACCCTATTATACACATGCATATGTATTTTGTCTAGAAATAATCAATATTTTTCTCTAACATACTTTATATTTAGCATATAAATATCATTTTTTTATGAAATTTTGTTTTAATTAATTTTCTTCATTCTAGTGAATTATTGTCGTACTTTACGTCTTACGTAACTTGAGAATACGTGTAAATATTAACATATTGGTTGGAGTTATAAAGAAAAACTATTATCCATGGATAACCGTGGATACCCGAAACCCGAACGGGTATGGGCATGGTTTGGATTTTCTACCCGTTTCTTATGTGGATATGGGCATGGGTAGAACCCGAACTACTTTGGATAGGGTAACGGATATGCACTATCCATCCTCGACCCGACCCATTACCGTCCATAACTATAACCCTTAATTATATTAACTGGCAAGTTTATTTACTGTACAAAATAGCATAAGCTTCTATTTAACCAGAACACTTAACTCGGGGGTACTGTTCATAATCAAAGAACTTTTACTCTGCGGTCTACTCTAGGGACAGGTTACGGTGATTACTATAAAAGTAGTAATCACCATGGTTACAAGGGTAAATTGGGTATGGAAAAATAAATTATATTAATTAATTTTTTAATAAATTACATTTTAGGTAGTTTCAAAAATCTATTAATTAAAATTCTCTCTCTCTCACTTCCGTAATCTCCAGCCAGATTTCCTTTCCATATTTTTCTCAATCTTTCTGCAAAAAAAAAAAAAAAAAAAAAAAAGGAATCGGTACCAATCCGTTAGACAAACACTACCACTTTGAAAAACATCAATACCATTGCAGAAATAAATCTATACCATTACACGAAAACTACCAATATATATAATCTATACCATAAACAATCAATACCATTGTAGAAATAAATCTATACCATTACACGAAAACTACCAATATAAACAATCTATACCATAAACAATCAATACTATTGCAGAAATAAATCTATACCATTACACGAAAACTACCAATATAAACAATCTATACCACTGCACATTGAATCAATAAACAAAAATTACTAGATCTAGGTTTTTAAATCTATACCACTGCACATAAGAAAGAGAGAGAGAGAGAGAGAGAGAGAGAGAGAGAGATTTTCAGAGCGAACGAGAGAGAGAGGGTAACGCAGGTCGGGGAAGGGTAGAATTGAGGAGCGTCGTGGTGGGGAGTTGCGGATCTTGTGTTTTAGAGAGGCCTACCAGGCTACCTCCACGTTGTTGCAATCTGTGAGGGGGGAGGGAGGGAGGAGGGATGGGAGATCATGGATCATGCGAGAGTGGTGGGAGGGGAAGGAGGGTGGCCGGCGGTGGTGGGGGGGTTTTTGGGAGAGAGGGCGGTGGAGGGTGTTCCGGGGAGGGAGGAGGGACGGCGAGAGGGAGCTTGGTGGTAGGCTGCCGGTTGTAGTAAGGTTAGGGTTTGGATATAATTTATAGAATAATCAAGTGTGGTATATTTTTTATTTCCAAAATTACCCTAATATAATCTTCATCGTTAATCTAAAAATAGGATGAAAAAGAAATAATGAATGGTGTAGATTAAGATAGCCACCGTAATTACTAAAAATTTAGTAACCACACTAACTCATCCCGTCTACTCTATGATAGATAGCCCTAGAGTCTTAACTGTGTTTTTTTAATGCCTATTTTTTATCCAAACATTTTTTCAGATTCTTTTATATTATCCAAATCTATTAAAATGCTATTAATTAGTCAAATCTTTCATAAGGCATCAAAATATTAGCAATTTTTACGTTATCGTTAATAATTTTGTAACTCTTTTCTTCGTTAAAATACTAAAATTTCGGAATGTTGACCTTCATGTGTCTCTTCCACTCTCATGTTGCCAAGTCAATATTACTAACAAAATTTCTATCTAGAAGTTAACATTTGGCTAATTCTTAGTATTTCGATAGATTTGACTAATATAAAAAATCCAAAAAAGGTTTGACAAATAAATATTCATTTACTTCTTTTTTCTTGACAAAAAGTCCCGGCTGTTTGTGGGCTAACCATGCATGGCTAGACCCATAATTCAGAAACCATAGAAATAATTATACTAACTTATATTGGGCAGGCACAAAGTATTGCATCCTTTCATGGTCGAAATATGTTGTATTCCAAATCTGATTACCCATAGTCCCATATAATAGCAAACACTACTGGAAAATAAATCTCTTCTATCCTACTTTAGGTAAAATTTAGGGTACCGTATATTTATAGTAAGAAAATCTATCTAGACATCGAATTATTCTGATTTTGGGGCATTGATACTTACCCTAACCCTTGATGAGTGAACACTAGGCCTTAGTTATCTAAATCATAGACCCTAAACCCTAAGATTGTGCATGTAATTTGTTCCATATATTTCGATGAATCATTACCGTCAGTTGTTGATTCTAATTAAATTTATTTTACTATGCGATTAATAGAATTAAGACCTAGATTTTGATCTTTACTTTCTATCGTATTTTGAGTAAAATCAAAAGTATAACGTACACTGAGTAAGAAAATGATATATAGACATTGAATTAACCTAATTTTGGGGCCCGATACTATACCCTAACCGTTGATGAGAGAACCCTAGGTCTTAAATATGTAAATCAAATATCCTAAACAATAAGATCGTGCATATAATTTCTTGGGTATTTCGACAAAACATGACCGTTGATTATTATTTTTCAATTAAAATTACCTTAGTGTATGAGATTTATAGAAGAATATCTAGATTTTAATCTTTTCGAGTTAGGGTATACTTCACGTCTCAAACTTCGTTTAATTCAAGGTCTAGCTATACCTTTAATTTTACTAAATGTACGATAAATCCATCAATATATATTATTATTTATGGTGATATATAAATCTTCAAGTTAAAATCACTATTCCTTACTAAAAATTAGAAAGATATTAAATTTGTTCCCACTTTTTATCCTCAGTCATTTGTTTATGATTTTTTTTGTTTTCCATCTCTTTTGCCCAATTTTAACTTAAGGTTTTCTCATTTAGTCATCTATCTCGGCATTTTGAATGTGATACTTTCCACTGTTCACCAAACTTTTAATACTCTACATCCAGTTTTATTACCATATTTTTTATACGCTATATCCCATTTTATCGTGAGATTTTTTTTCCGAAACATTGGTTTGTTTATGCAACTTTTTTCTTTTTCCATCTCCTTCACCCAAATTCACTGTAAGTATTTTTCCCTTTAGCCAACTAGCTCGGTAGTCGGTATTTTGAATGTCGTGCTTTCCACTGTTCACCTAAATTTTTTTTATGCTTTCCACCCAGTTTTATCATAATTTTTTTCCATCTCCATCATGCAACTTCACCGTAAGGTTTTTCCCTTAAGGCAACTATCTCACTATGAAATTTTCCTAATTTGAATTTATTATTATACCACACACTGTGAAATATATACATAAACCATTCTATAATAATTACGTTAATTACAAATACATTATATAAATCTTACAACAGGGATAGTGATTTGGGTAACATAAGTGTTGTGTATAATATAGCAAATGCGATATAATTCAAGAGATGACTTATTTATGTTGTATAAACTACCTTTTAAGTAACATTTAAAAGAAGTGTTGTCACTGTAAACTATAAGCAACACCTTTGATAAGTGTTGCAAACATAGTGTTGACAAAGACCATTTTCCCCACAGGCCTTATGTACCAATTAAACAAAACATGCAACATAATTTTTTAGTAGCAACTAAAACAACACGTAAACTTTATTGAGAGATAATAATTTATTATATATCAATTAAGCAAATATATTTTGTAATTCTTTCATGATATAAGTATGAATGAAAATTCATAAAATATTAACTAAATTGTTGACGATCTCAACAATTTACTTACTCAAATGTTTCAATTTTTTTTAACTTAACTCACTTATTATTTACTAAAATTACTTTATCATACCTATTATATTCAATATCCCATAAATTTGCATAACACAACTTATAACTTATGTAAGATAAGTTAACATTACGTAATTGTTTAATCAAATGTAAAGTAGATTACTGATGGACCCTCTATTTCAGCACCTATCATCTCATACCAATGAGTAATAAGGACGCCAATAAAACCACCACAATTTCCTCCACATGGCTACAATGGTGGCATGACAATATATTTATCATTTACATGAATTGGGTGTTTAAGTGGTGTGCTAGCTAAAGGTTTCCCTCTAGCCACTACCCTATTTACCCATTCAACTACACGTGGAGTAATGGTGGAAAGACCAAGGTTTCTCTTCTCCATCAATTGATCAATTAATTAGTTTGCTATTTACCTCTCTATTAAGTCCTAGGGAAGCCACCTAACATCACTTTCCCATGCTTCCACGTATGAAAGACAAGGTGGACATGTGTGTTCTTTATTCTCAATTAGTTGGGTCTTAGAAGGAGGTGGTGTTCTTTGTCTTTCTTCTTCTATGTCTTACTCTTACGCTCTTAATATGTTTATTTGTTATATTCTATTTACCCTAACCAGCATTGCACTCAGTCTTGTTGGTTGAGTGAATTGTTTTTTATACTCAACCAGTCATCGCACTCAGGGTTGGTTGGAGGTAAATGTATTATTGTTAGTCTTCACGCGCCACCCACGCCATGAGCAGCAGGCACCTATAAATAGGATGCTCATTTATGCTTTCTTGATAGTTGATAGGGAACGGAATTTTTGAATCTCTCTCTCTAGAGCCGACTTACTATGCCGCTCACGGTTACCCTCCTCTCAAATACTAACTTGAGCTTCGGAGAAGGTCCCCGCCAACCACTGCTGGCGGGTCCTTTTGTTTTGCAGGTGTCCATCTCTGAGGCTGGTGGTGGACGTCGGCCAAGAAGATCGGCGCTCACCGGACCTCAAACACATTGATTCTAGCTCCTCGGAGCTTGGCATCAACAATTGGCAGCCACCGTGAGGCCCGATGAGATTAATACCAACAAATCGTCAATCCAGCAAGACGAGGTGGACACGCAGGATCTGCAACCCGAAGCCGGGATTCGTCAAGATGCAACTCCAAACATCAATCAAGTTGCTATCTCCAAGCATCCAGGATCCCAACAAGATGGAAATGTAGGATCTGCAACCCGAAGAAGGGATTCGTCAAGATGCAACTTTAAACATCAATCGAATTGTTATCTATAAGCATCGCGGATCCCAACAAGATGGAAAGGCAGGATCTTCAACCCGAAGAAGGGATTCGTCAAGATGCAACTCCAAACATCAATCAAGTTGTTATCTTCAAGAATCGAGGATCCCAACGAGATGGGCATGCAGGATCTGCAACCCGAAGAAGGAATTCATCAAGATACAAACCAAACATCAATCAATTCGGTATCTCCAAGAATCGAGGATCTTCTGACCATGATTGAGTTGTGTCAATATTTGGTGTGGAACTGCGGGCCCTCAACCGAACTAGTTTCTCCGTCGATTTGTCGCGAAATCATAGGATCCTCCAATCCTCTCGTGGAATGGCGCCCTGACATCAACAATTGACACTTATAGTGAGCCTTGATGAAAAGTTACATCAACAATTTGCGCTTGCTATGGAGCCCGGTGAAATTTTTAACAAATTATCATTGTCAACGTCAAACCCACTAGGAGATATGGTGGAGAAACCTGATGTCGGGGGATTCAAAACGAGGCCGTGGGGGCACCAATTTAGGTCTGCCTCTCGTAAGACCTACGTTTTAGCGGAGAAACCATGTTGTCTACTTTTTAAGTAGGCACATCTCCATCAATGAGGTCAAGGGTTCAATTCCCCGCGAATTGCTATTGTGAAAAAAGATCCACTTTATCACCCACACCACTCTGCCTCCATCTCTTCCGAATCTTGACGGGACAACTTTTGTATCATCATCCCCAATCTGGCAGGGGAACCTCTTCCCTTCTCATACTCCAATTGAGAAAAATCCAAGTATGAAAAAGTTTTTGTAAAATCAAAAACTATCTGGTAATACCTCCTAAACTCTCATTTATACTTGATATCAAAATTCTTCTATGATGTTGCAGAACCCAAACTATTTTCCTTATCACTCATACACGGTCAGCACTAAACACACAACATAAGGCTGCAATGATTGGCATTGGTCGCCTGCAACAATTGGTTTGGTTTGTGTACCATGGTTGGCACGACTCTCCATGCGTGGCCCACATTATTAGTGCAACCTGTCTGTCACAATTGACACGGTTTTCCATGATCTCTCGCCACTACGGTGCACCCATTCCCTATAATTGGCACGACTCTCCAATAATTGCTCGTCCTATCTATCTTAGCTTTATATGCCATGATTTAAATCACTCATTTAGAGATGTGTTACCAATAGTAAACTTTGATTTCAACCTTAATTTTTCTATAGGTAAGGGTGCAATTGATGGACCCTCTATTTCACCACCTATCATCTCATACCAATGAGTAATAAGGATGCCAATAAAACCACCACAATTTCCTCCGCGTGGCTACAATGGTGGCATGGCAATATATTTATCATTTACATGAATTGGGTGTTTAAGTGGTGTGCTAGCTAAAGGTTTACCTCTAGCCACTACCCTATTTACCCATTCAACTACACGTGGAGTAATGGTGGAAAGACCAAGGTTTCTCTTCTCCATCAATTGATCAATTAATTAGTTTGTTATTTACCTCTCTGTTAATTCCTAGAGAAGCCACCAAACATCACTTTCCCCATGCTTCCACGTATGAAAGGCAAGGTGGACATGTGTGTTCTTTATGCTCAATTAGTTGGGTTTTAGAAGGAGGTGGTGTTCTTTTTCTTTCTTCTTCTATGTGTTACTCTTACGCTCTCAATATGTTTATTTGCTATATTCAATTTACCCTAACCAGCATTGCACTCAGTCTTGTTGGTTGGGTGATTTGTTTTTTATACTCAACCGGTCATCGCACTCAGGGTTGGTTGGAGGTAAATGTATTATTGTTATTCTTCACACGCCACCCACGCCAGGAGCAGCAGGCACCTAATAGGATGCTCATTTATGCTTTCTCGACAGTTAATAGGGAATGGAATTTTTGAATCTCTCTCTAGAGCCGGCTTACTATGCCGCTCACGGTTACCCTCCTCTCAAATACTGACTTGAGCTTCGGAGAAGGTCCCCGCCAACCACCGCCGGCGGGTCCTTTTGTTTTGCAGGTGTCCATCGCGGAGGCTGGTGGCAGACGTTGGCCAGGAAGATCGGCGCTTACTGGACCTCAAACACATTTAAGCAGCTTGGCATCAACAATCACATAACATCGTTGTATAATCGTTATTAAAATATATTACTTAAAACTTACCAAAGTGACTTACTTGAACTGTTTTGTGAATAAATTTATTTCAACTAAGTAATTAAATGAGTGAATGAAATTCTATTAAAATTCATTAGCTTATTACTGACGTGAAGCGCGGGCGAAAAAACTAGTATCACTTAATATGACCTTTTTGCATCAACATGTGTTCTATGAGTTATAATTGTTAATTGTCGTTGCATTATGACCGGTAAGCATTGTTGGTAGGGAAATATTTCATTCTAATTCATTGGAGAGTATTAGGCTTTCTTATGACTAAATGTTTGACCATGTACGTTTGATCGCTTCACCATATTGATTGTTCTTTTCATTGTAGGTGATGTGGTTAATTAGCATTGTTTTTTTTCTCCTAATTTTCCTTTGTTTTGAAACTTATGTAAATTTGTTTTAATCAAGCATATTATATAGCTTCATATGCGGAAAAGACGGACAAGACAAAGATAACTCCATGTTTTAGGACACTTTCCCTGCAGCTTCTTCACGCATGGCTATGTGTTTTTCTATGAGCGTCATATTGGACCGAGAGGAGCACCGGTCCAAATCAGTAACTCAGCCCAGCCGAGAGGTGCAGCATCCCAAGTTGGCGGTCCAGTCTATCCAGCCCAGTTCAGCATATGTTGCGTGTACGTGCATGACAAGGAGTTTTCCTTCTCCTACTCATGTACAGCTAGGGCAAGCAGAACACAAACTATATAATGTTGATGTAGGCCGAATGGCCATTGTACAAGTTTACAGTGAATAATATTATCAAAGCCGGAGAGGCTGATCTCTCCCGTGGATTAGTCCTGACAAATCGTCAGGGATACCACGTAAAAATCTCGTGTCTTCTTTGTTTTATTCTCGATTTAACATGGTATCAGAGCACAGGTCTGGGTAAATCCGTGTTCTAGCTGTGCTGTTTCGTCAGTCATTATGGGTGACGAAGACGGTCAAAGAAGCTACAATCTTCGGCTATGAAAGGAGAGTTCTCGATGAGTCAAGGTATCGACGCAACTTCTGAATTTTTCTTGCATCCTTCCGATATCAATGGACAGCTACCTGTATCGGACGTACTCACTTCATCAAATTATGGTGAGTGGGTGGTTGACGTCACGGATGCGTTGATAGTAAAAAATAAGCTTGGTTTTGTTGATGGAAGTATTCCGCGACCTGCGACCGATCCGGAATTGAAGGCGTGGACTCGCTGCGATGCAGTAGTAAAAGGATGGCTTCGCATATCCATGGACAAGGAGGTGAGAAGCAGTGTTAGATATGCTAAGACAGCAAGAGAAGTATGGGTGGATTTAAAAGAACGGTTTGGTCAAGAAAATCTTACCCGCGGGTATGAACTCAGACGCATGCTTAGCGGATTGTGGCAAGAAAAACTTTCTGTGTCCACATTTTACACTTGTCTTCGTACGATATGGGAAGAAGTCCAATACGCCCCCGTGGATCATGTTTTAATGGATGAAGTTAGGTGTGTTGGATTTAAATGTACAGGGAACACCGAACACTCAATATATTGTTTTGTAAAAAAAAACACTCAATATATTGTTTGTCATCATAATTATAGTTTTATAGGTTTGTTAATTTGGTATGTTAAATTATATATTTTTGTAAATGATATTATGTAATGCAACTTATATTATACTAGGACACAAAATTCGGGTTTTGTCACGGTTGGTTTGGACTTCTTACTGGCAGGCTCCTAAATAACTTAATTCGCAAACTTTGAAGTTTGAATGGCTTATCAATAGAGAGAAATAAAGTTTCAATGTCTTTCTACCGCCACTGAACATCAATTATTCTTTTCAATCCTTAACCTGCGGACTTCCCTGAAAAAGAAAATCTAATTCCTATATGCCTCATCTCATCGATCATCTCTCTCTATCATACCGCTCGTCGTCTATTCCACGTTGGAAGCTTTTTATGAGTCGCCTTATGCACTTGTGTTTTCATGCTTCTATTCCCTTTGATATTTCTCTTACTGAAGCCAAATGTATAATCGGTGCAAAATATCACATGAGGCTTCAAATCTGAAACTGGTTCTTACACACAACTATTCTCATATTAATAATGACAACATAACTTAAAAAGAATGCTCAGGGATGAAATGCAGGGTTCAAATTTGATGCCTTCAAATCAACGGGGAGAATTTAGGAGAGGAGAGGAACGACTGCTGCTCATGTTTGCCTAATCGGTGGCATGTCGGCCAATACAATCGACTTCAACCAGTATTGGTTATGAAATTGGCTGAAATGTCCCCAAAAATATTGGCATAACCGATTTTTACCTGTAAACAAAATGACGTCGATTTGGTGAATTTTTTTTTGCTTGTTTCTTGAATTTAAAAGTTAAATGTTGATGTCATTTGTTGGATTCAAGTATGAATGTTATTATTGGATTCAAGTATATAAACGTTTGGACGCTGACGTTAAATGTTGTCTTGAAATATTATGATTTTTCATTTTGTTCGAAATATTTATTTATTTAAATATAATATGGATTAGATTTAGAGAGATTATTTACAAATATGTTATTTATATATATGTCTTAATTTCTGAGTCGCCTTATGCACTTGTGTTTTCAAGATTCTATTCTCTTTGATGCTTCTCTTATTCAAGCAAAATTTATAATCGGGGGGAAAAATATCACATGAGGCTTTCATGTGAAACTGGTTCTTACACACAACTATTCTCATATCATTAATAATGACATAACTTAAAAAGAATGCAAGGGATGAAATGCAGGGTTCAAATTTGATGCCTTCAAATCAACGAGGAGAATTTACTACTGCTCATGGTTGTCAAACGGGTGGCATGTCGGTCAATACAATCGACTTCAACCAGCATCGGTTATAAAATTGGTTTAAATGTCCCCGAAAATATTGGCACAACCGATTTTTACCTCTAAACAAAATGACATTGATTTGATGATTTTTTTTTTTCTTGTTTGTTGATTTTATTTGTTGGATTCAAGTATGAATGTTATTTGTTGGATTCAAGTGTATAAACGTTTGGATGTTACGTTAAATGTTGTCTTGAACTATTATGAATTTTTCATTTTGTTTGAAATATTGTATTTATTTAAATATGGATTAGATTTAGAGAGATTGTCTACAAATATGTTATGTATATATATCGGTGGCATCTTCGGTGCACTCATTTTTTTGGGTGCACTCAGTGCACTCGCTTCATAATTGTCATTTTGAGCAGGTGATTAATGTCAAAACAATGTTAATCATCACATATGATACGATGGACAAGAAACCCAATGAATTAGCACAAAAATTATTCAAAATTTACATTAATTTGAAGGAATTATGGTTTATGGATTTAAGGTTAGAGTTCATGATTTGGGATTTAGGGCAAAAGTTCAAAATTGAAGATTTAGGGCTTAGGGTAATGCATTGATTTGTTGTGATCTTATGTTATATCATCATATTACACTAATCTTACCAATTAAATAAAAACTTATGTCTTAAGGCTACTTTTAGAGTTGGGTGCATTGAATGCACTCATTGGGTTATAAACTTGGCTGAAATGCCTCCGAAAATTATTTGTTGCATTCAAGTATATAAAGTTATAGACGATTGGAAGTTGGCGTTAAATGTTGTCTTGAAATATTATGATTTTTCGTTATGTTTGAAATATTATATTTATTTGAATATAGATAAGATTTTAGAGAGATTGTCTACAAATAGAGCACATCTTTTTATCAAATTTTAAGGCTTCTTTGCCTTTGATGTCGCAAGTACACTTCTCCGGTGAGCTTTCCTACAAAATTTTGTAAGCATTTCAACTTCTATCCATTCTATTTTATTTCCGCCAATTTGGTGATGGATTAAGCGATTGTAATAGAAAAAAATAATACAGCTACTTCGTTGGGTGCAATCACTACGAATCTATTCTCTAAACGTCTGCAAAATTAACTTTTGCTTCATTAAAACATATATGCCATCTTGTCACCTGGTGAAGCTTCAAGTGGCACTTCCCCGGGTAGTAGTGGTCTGGATTTTCAGTCATGGATAGATGATATGGAACTCATTGAGCACAAAACATTTGGTGAGAAGTTCACTTGGTTAAATAAGCAGCATGGAAATTCTATTGCAAGAAAGATATATAGAATATTGGTTAATGGGGATTGGTTTACTCAATTCCTATATAGTTTTGCTAGCACTACTGCTCTAGAGACTGTTTCATATCATTGTGGATTGCTTGTCTACCTCCCCTCAGCAAAAGTGATTGCCTAAACAGTTTAAGTTTTTTACCTTCTGGGCAAAGCACCCAAAGTTTCAAGAGATTCTTAAAAAAGTAAGGAGTTCCTAGATTGCTGGCTACCCGTTCTATAGATTTTGTCAGAAGTTAAGGAAGCTTAAAAGAAAACTGAAAGAGATGAATAATGAGTTCTATGTTGATATTACTTTACGAGCTCGTGAGGCAGAGAATGAACTTGATATAGCTCAGAAGGAGGCACTTAGTAATTCATCTGAAGTTGCATTGTGCTCAGTGTATGGCTAAATGTGTAGAGTTACAAAGTGCAGAAGAGGCTTTCTATAAACAAAAGGCACGAGTTCAAGCAGTCTATGAAGGGGATTTAAATTCAAATATTTCAATCAGTCCTTGAAGATTAGGTAGCATGTTAATAAAATATCTTTGCTTAAAAAGGAGGATGGAACATAAGTGACTTATATTGATGAAATAGGGAGAATGGCAGTGGATTTCTATAAGAATCTTCTGGGGAAAGGAATGAGGATGTTGCGGCATGTTTTGAAGAAGATATCAGTTCTCTATTGTATTCCAGACTCTCTTCCACTGAGGCAGATGAATTAAGCAGGCCTGTAACAAAAGAGGAGATCAAGAACTCTTTATTCAGCATGAGTCTGAACAAGGCTCCTGCCCCGATGGGTTCCCTGTTGATTTTTACAAGCTGTCATGGGATGTGGTTGGAGATGAAGTCACCAGAGCTGTGAGCTCCTTCTTTGAAACAAGTTATCTCCCTAAAGATGTCAATTCTACTATGTTAGCTTTAATTCCTAAGGTTCCTAATGCTGATTCAATGAGGTTATTTAGGCCAATTTCCTACTGCAATGTGCTCTATAAATGTGTTTCCAAAGTGTTAGCAACTAGGGTGTCCAGTGTGTTGCCTCAATTGATTAGCAAAAGTCAATCTGCCTTTGTTAAGGGCTGAAGCATTAGTGATAATATCTTCTTCGCAGCTAAGATAGTTAATGGGTATCATAAGAAGACAATATCCTCTAGATGCACTATGAAAATCGATGTGATAAAGGCATTTGATTCTACATATTGGAATTTCCTACTGATAGTGTTGACAACTATAGGGTTTTCTGTCAAAGTTGTAGAATGGTTAAGGGAATGTGTTACATCACCTATGCTGAGTATATCGATTAATGGAGGCACGTGTGGATACTTCCTTGCACAAAAAGGGCTCAGGCAAGGAGACCCTCTTTCTCCTTTCTTGTTTACTATGGCAATGGAGATTTTTTCTTGTCTGCTAAGGAGGGCTGCTGAACAGAGTACCTATCCATATCATTCTAGATGTAAACATATTGGAATCACTCATTTGGTATTTGTCGATTACTTACTACTCTTCTCTACTGTAACTGAAGAGGTTGTGACTTGTGAGGGAGGTTTGTGGTTTGCTAGACAGATGTTATCACTTATCTGGGCTGTGATTTCACCCTGAGAAAAATCAGATTTTTTGTGTTGGCATGGCAGATGTGTAGAAGGAAAATTTAGCAAGAATATCAGGTTTCCAGTTATCCCAACTCCCAGACAGATATCTGGGTGTCCCACTAATCTCAGGGAAATTGAGTATGCATGATTGCAAGGTGCTTGTAGATATAGTAACGAAAAAAATTGCTGGATGGAAGCCAATGATGTTGAGTTACGCAGGTAATATTCAGTTGATCAATTATGTTATTAGTAGTCTTTTGTAATACTGGATGAACGTGTTTTTGCTTCCTATGGCTGTTATAAAGGAGATTGAAGTGAATTGTAGTCGTTTATATGGGAGATTGACGATAATACTATGAGATCTAAAGTAGTAGTTGCTTGGGATAAACTTACTTTCCCTAAGAGAGAAGGTGGGCTAGGCATCAAATGTATGAGAGTCTGGAATCTGGCATGTGCAGCAAGACATGTCTGGAATATTTTGATTAAGGAAGGTTCATAGTGGGTGGCTTGGGTTTACAGGTATAGAATTAAGCCAGCCTCTTTTTGCAGATAAGGCCTAGTAGTTGTAGCACCTGGATGTGGAGGAAGTTCCTAAAGGTAAGGGATAAGGTGTAACCTTTCATTACTTGTTGAGGGAATAAATTTTTTTTTGGAATAACAGATTTGTTCCTAGATATTCTATGAAGATGGTAAGGGAAGATCTTAGGGAAAAGAATCATATAGTTCCTTGGTACTCTCTGCCATGGTCACAATACAACCTGACAAGGCATAGCCTTGTGAGCTGGTTAGTTAGTTCTAAAAGACAGAATATGTACCAAGGAAAGACTCAAAGCTTGGGGGAAGATTGAAGATGACACATCTTTGTTCTGCAATTCAGGGGCGGAGACCAGGAATCATTTGTTCTTCCTCTGTCCTTTCTCGGCTAAAGTCCTCAAGTACAGCCTAGGGCTTGTTAACAGAGTTTTCCACCCATTTTGTGATTTCCAGAAATTCTGTACTTGGGCAGTGAGAACATGCAAGGGTAAACAAGCTTCTGTAAAAATTGGGAGATTGATTAGGAATCTAATTATAAGTGTTATGTGGAAGGAATGGTGCAAGAGGTTATACAAAGGGGAAGCTACGAATATTGGAGGTGTTTGTGTTCGCATTAAGTGCATTGTTGAGTTGGCCATTGTAGGAAATATGGCTCTACAAGCTGATTTCCAGGCATATGAAAAAATAGCTTTTGTCTGATAGTAGTGAAAGTTGTGAGTCTGGTTTGTATCTTGTAGAAGGTATAGTGCGTGTAGGTTTTTCTACTTACAAACTGTAGTTTTAGGGGTCGTTTGGATGAGGAATTGTAACGGATCAATTTGACACAATTGTCTCGTTTTGAGACAATTGTACCAAATTGCCTCGTTTGCCAGCAAAAAAATTGGATGGATCAATCTGCCTGAGGTATTTTGAATTGATCCGTTTTGAGTCAATTTCAATTACCTGGGGTGGGGGCAGGTAATTCGAATTGACTCGTTTTAATTGCCTCATTTATAAAACAAGATAATTGATCAAATTGACTCATTTATAAATTGATCCATCCAAACGACCCCTTAATGTATTTGTACCATTTTTGTGGGGAGACTCGTTTACTCCCCCACATTAGCTTAATAAATTTTTTTGATTGCCCATAAAAAAAACATATATGCCAAAGCACGGTCTTAGTTAACCATGTCTTTATCCCTTCTTAGTTCTCCCTTTATATATTTTATGCCTTTGGTTTTTTAAATTATTCCCTTTGAAGTAAAGTTAATTCATAATATTCTTTTAGTAATAGGCTAACATGCACACACAATATTTTTCCGCCTCCATGAATAATTAGATGAGCCATGAAAGCATGCGATTCAGACTTATAGTCTGAAATGATTATCGAGTATTTTTTTATCAGAACGATTAATTTTAAACCTATCCAGTTGACATCAACCCGTCGCAGAATACATGCCAATAAGCTAATAATAATATTAGGAGTGGAGGAAAGGCATGAGACATCGGTTTGGCTTTTCTATTTAAACCAATGCTGTCATAACAGAACCGGAGTATGACCCGGTAACATGAGCGACTCGCATTTTATTAGTCCAACCAATGTCTTCTTTCATCCCATCACTTCCTTCTCCAGAGCAAGGCAAACAATGAATGTCTTCTTTAATCTTCCTCATTCCTCTCCCCGCACCCTCCTAGTCCACCCTTCACCTCTCCACATATCCTCCCTCAAAATCCAACAAAAAACGTAGTCATCCCCCTCCTCCTCCGATGCCAAAACTTTGTCACCGCTGTCACAACCGGCAATCACGACTAGCATGAGATGGGAATCTATTCGATTGATGGATGGGTGGCGCTACTTCCACCATTTGTGTTAACAATACTTGACATGGTTCGCCTTCTCCTGGACCATCATTCTTCTAGTTCCTCTCTCGGTCAGAAGGGGAAAAACCTGGCGAGCGGCTCAAATAGTTCGAGCGGTTAACTGCCTCGGCCGCTTGTTAGCAGCTCTGAAAGCCGTTGCGGTTTATTGACTGATCCGAGTCGGCTTGGCGACCGGGTGATGATTTTACCGGTCGGATCGACTGGCTCGGCTCGATTTTAATAACACTGATTTAAACTAAAACTGGAGCGATAAGAATTATACTGGTTTTAGATTTTTTGTTTCAACTTGGTTTGTATCTTTCTTATCAGTTTTTGTTTACACAAAAAACCCGATAAAATACCAAAACCAAACATATAGTTGAGGTATGCAAGGGGGTTCCGATTTTAATTGGGGATGATTGAGATTTTGATTTTCTGTTTGTTATAACCGAAACCGATAAGATCTTATCGAGTTATGGTTACCCAAAAACTGATAAGCCTTTAACAGGTTCGATTTCGGTTTTGGGTAAACATACTATTTTAATTTTTCGGTTTTTTAACTGTTTCGATTCGGTTATTCCAACTAAAGAGAATGGACACAATTAGTGGAGGAACATCAGTAATGAGTAGGGATGGAAATCAAACCCATGGCCGCGGGTATACGACCGCCCTCGACCCAGCTAACGCGGGGAATCCCCGCATTGACTGAGTATGGTGCGAGAATGGGTAAAACCCGCTAAATATTTGATGGGTATGGGGCGGGTATGGTTTTAGCCTCCTCGCCCCATGCCCATACTCATACCCGCCCCACTAAGACATTTCTTCACATATAAAAAATATATGGATAGAATTGTGATATATCAATGATAGTGAGGGTACCTCAAAAAAATAAGTATTAGAAATGCAATTGAGTGACCACCCAAAACATAATTCATTTTCATCAACTCTCCCTTCACTCTTTCACTTTTCCCCTCGTGTTAACAATATTATGTTAATTTGTTATTAGTTAGTAGATGTATCAGAGTCAGAGAATAATGATTTGTATTACATTATGTTGTACTCTATTTTATGAATTAACGGAATGTTTAGGATACGATGCTTTGAATCGTATAAAGAATGATTGTTTAATGTTATAATTTAGAATTTACATGTAAAATTTTAGGTATTATAATATCGGATGTATGGGGCGGACATTACCTATGGGTACCCAAAACCCACGGATATGGAAATGGATTTGGAAAACCTTCCTCGTATGGGCATGGGACGGGTATAAATATGTATATTTGAAAGCGGGGATAAGAATAGTTTAAGCAAACCCGCATTATTGGTATACTAGTAATGAGTTAGGGGATCGAGCATGTCATCAATAAATTGTGGCAAACTGATTCTTAAACTTCGAAGTAAGCACTCTGAGTCCTTTAATAGATGCATTCATATTGTTTGTTTTACCCTTTCGCAGCAAAACTTCTAACTTTTTAGCTTCCAGCCTCCCCTCAATGACTGTTTACTTTCATCTCTCCCACTGTGAATCTCTGGTTAAATTTATATCAATCGACAATATGCATTCAATTGTCACCATAGAACACAGAAACAGAGACGCGTGAGAGATGGGAAAATTGTTTGTTAGTTCGCTTCCCCACCCCCACTCTACTCTCCATTTCTGAGCTCTGCAGAGAAGATGGTACGCCATCTGGTGGGTCGAAAATGAAGCTCTCCCGCCACGCCGGCACGTACCCACCACCTCAATCCCCTTCCGACTGCAATGTGTCGCCGTCCTCTCCACCCTCCCCGCCACCTCCGCCATGCAAATACCGCCAAACCCATCCCCCACCGTCTCCTCCTCCTCCCGCCTCCCGTCTATAAATTCCCCCCCTTCCCTCCATCCCCTTCCTCACTTCACTCCCCACTCCCTTCACCATACCAACACACTGCGCCTCCTAATCCTCAATCATGGCTACCAAGCTACTCATCCCAATCCTCCTCTGTTTCCTCGCCGCCTCTGCCTCAGCCCTGAGCCAGCAGCAGAGCAGGCCCCTGGAGTACCAACTCCAAGCTCAGCAATGCAACATGGACAGGATCTCCAGCTCCCAGCCCACTATCCGCATGCAGCACGAGGGAGGCGTCACCGAGGTGTGGGATTCCCAAGAGGACCAGTTCATCTGCGCCGGAATCGCTCCCTTCCGCGACGTCATCGAGCCGCAGTCCCTCTCCGTCCCCAAATTCTTCCCCGCTCCCCGCCTCGTCTACATCGAGCAAGGCAGGGGAGTGCTCGGGATCAACTTCCCCGGCTGCCCGCCGACTTTCCACAGCGGTGGGCAGCAGCAGCAGCAGCAGTACCAGCGCGGCCCGAGGAGGATGATGAGCGGGCGCGGCGACGAGCACCAGAAGATCCACCGCATCCAGCAGGGTGACATCGTCGCCATCCCTCACGGCGCCGCCACCTGGTCGTACAACGACGGCAATCAGGACCTCATCTACGTCACCATCGTCGACCTCAACAACGACCTCAACCAGCTCGATCAGAACTTCAGAGTAATCAATCAACCCTGACAATTTTCATCTTAATTTGTGTAATTGTGTGAATTTTGATTTGGATTGATTGGAATTGGAAGCAGGGGTTCTTGTTGGGAGGTGGACGATCCGACGCGAGGCAGAGCCAGAGAGAACTCCGAGGGCGTGGCTCCCAGGGAAGCAGGAGGGGTTGGCGTGGAACCGAGGGACAGCAGTGGATGTCCCCCAACATCTTCCAAGGCTTCGACGAGGAGCTCATCGCCGAGGCGTTCAATGTCCAGACTGAAACCGTGAGGAGGATGCAGAACGACAACAGGGGAATGATCGTGAGGTGCCAGGAAGAGATGAGGTTCGTCACCGAGGAGGAAGAGCAGATGCAGCAGATGGGATGGGGCCGTCAAGGTCAGCGCGGCAGCCGTTTCGTGAACGAGAACGACGAGAAGAGCCTCCCTGCCGCCGCCGACGAGGAGCAGGAACAAGAGAATGGAATCGAAGAGGGCTTCTGCAACATGAAGATCAAGCACAACCTCGAGAGACCCGTCCAGGCCGATTTCTTCACCCGCGAAGCCGGGAGGATCAACATTGCCAACCGCGACAAGCTCCCAATCCTTGGCTTCTTGGACATGAGCGCCGAGAGAGGCTCCATCATGCCGGTAAATGAAATTAATTAAACCCTTACCCCTTAAAACATTTTTTTTTTCTTTTCAAAGTACAATTGAGTAATTGAATCTTGTTTCTCATGTGACACAGAGAGCAATGTACACCCCACACTGGTCGATGACCGACCACCGAGCAGTGTACGTGCTCCGGGGCGACCTGCAGGTCCAGATCTCCGACGACAAGGGGAACCAGATCATGAACAACAGGGTGCAGGAAGGGGAAATGTTTGTGATCCCGCAGTTCTTCGCAACCATGGGGATGGCAGGGAACCAAGGGTGCGAGTACGTGACGTTCAAGACTTCCGGTAGGACGATGAAGCACCAGATGGCAGGGTACAGCTCGGTGATGAGGGCGATGCCCATCGATGTGCTCTCCAACTCTTTCCAGATGTCGCCAAGGGAGGCAGAGCAGCTCAAGTGCAACAGGGACCCAGAGTCCATGCTCTTCTCCCCTATCAGGGGAAGCAGCAGCAGCCGCCGCTACCCGACTAATCCTGTTGCTTAGAAGAATTCTCTTCTTTTACTGTCTGGTGATGGGGGCGACGTTGGCGTTGCTCCTTCTTCCCAATGCCGCTAAGAAAATGAGGAACAAAAAAAAAAAAAAAAAAAGGGCTCCTTCTCTTGTAGAGATTGAGGAGGAGAGGAATGAATAACTCCTTTTGTAAGTTTCTCGTGTTTTTTCTTATGTTGGAAGGCGTTTAGAGGAGTAGAAAGGCTGGTACCGAGTTGGGATGTAAGCAGCCGACCCAATCCATGAATGAATAAGTAATAAAACGCGGCCTAGTTTTGGTGTTTCTTATACTTCAGCTACTTCTGCCATGCTCTGTCATGCACTCATGCTCCTTGTATTTACAAGTAACTACGGTTTCAAGATAATTGTTTGAGACTCCGACTTCATGAACATTCAAACTCGATTCACATCTCATTCCATATAATATTTACGCGTGAATTTTGTAATCCGTCGCTAAATTAATGACAAGTAGAGATAGGTAAACTTTTAAACACACATGACCAAACATCAGTAGAGCAACATCCTTATTCACAAACACTCACAAACACTTAACAACGAGGTAAACCATCCATACTAACAGAGCAGCCAAATTAAAAATCAATTTTGACCGTTGGAGTCAACGCGGGCTGCTTGAAGAAGAAGGACTCTTGTTTGCTTGATACGCACCGTTCCGTGCCAAACTGCTGCGTTTCATTTATCACTGTAATTTGTTTTCTTTTCTGCCAAGTTTGTACTTGTTTCCCCTTCAAGCAAGACAGAACAGCGAGATGTAGGCTGTTCTTCATTGTCTTCTTCTGATGTACCAGACTATATAGTCCTTTGCTCAATGAGAATGAAAGTAAGCCTTCTAGGGTTTCATCCTCCTTTCAACTTCTTTGTTATGGTATCAGAGCCCTAAACAAGCTCTGTTGTCGCCGCCACAATGGCTGATGCAGATGAAGCTCAAACTTCACCCCAACCAACCACAAACACAACTCCACCACTCTACCAGGTTGAAGATCCTTTCTACCTTCATGGATCTGAGCAACCTGGCCTCCTTCTGGTTGCTGAGAAGCTCAGCACAACCAACTACCACGACTGGAGCAGAGGAATGCTCAACGCCTTGGCCGCCAAAAACAAACTGGGATTCATCAATGGATCTGTTCTTGAACCACCAGAGTCTGATCCTCTTCGAGGCATCTGGATGCGCAACAATGTGATGATTTTGAGTTGGATTCAGCAAGCTGTTGAGCCAGAGATTCGCAAGACAATCCTGTCCACCAAGACAGCTCTTGAAGCTTGGCGCAGCCTGCAATCCAGATATGGTGCTGGTGACATCATCCGCGTAGCAGAGCTTGAAGAGGCCCTTTCCAACCTGAAACAAGGTAATGACACCATAACTGAGTACTATGGTCGAGTCATTACTCTTAAGGACGAGCTAGATAACTACCAACCATTGATTGCCTGTGACTGCACCCCCACCAGTCATATCAGCTGCAGAGCCATGAAAAAAGTCATTGAATATCATGCCACAAACTATGTGATCAAGTTCTTAAGGGGTTTAAATGAGAATTTTTCCACTGTTCGCTCTCAAGTACTGTTTGGTGATGAGTTGCCCGACATAAATCGTGTCTTTCAAAGAATGTTACAACACGAAAGGCAACTGTATGGTACTCAACGAGGAAAAATCATTGCCAATATCTCCTCAGCGACTGTTGCTCTCAGTGCTCAAGGTCCAAACAGGAGATCTGGTACCAATGTTAAGCGTCCATATTGCACCTACTGTAAAAGGGAAGGTCATACCGAGGAGATCTGTTACCATAAGCATGGTTGGCCGCCTGGAATGACAAGGACTACACCAACAACCCAGACCAGAGTTCTTGAATGCACACACTGTAAGAGGCAAGGCCACACAGAAGATCGATGCTATGCCAAACATGGTTTTCCTCCACGAACTTCACATGTCCCAGGCAGATCTAAACAGTATGCTAATTCAGTTGCCACTGATCAAGGAGACACTGAAGTCAAGCTAACTAAAGCAGACTATGAGAAATTGATGAGTATCATGCATTCATCACAAAGCTCTAGTCCATCTTTCACTGCTGCAGCTTATACCAAATCTCTTCCTAACACAAGTAAATATCTCTTCTCTGCTCCTATCAAGGATAGGAATCTAAACCTTGCCTCCACTTGGATAGTTGACACAGGAGCATCAGACCATATTGTCTGCTCCTTGGATCTGTTACAGGATGCCAAGCCCTTACATGATGTGTTCATCACTCTTCCAACTGGAGAAAAACTCCAGGCCACTCACATTGGTCTCACTCAATGTAGTGATCAGCTCACACTCACTAATGTCCTCTTTGTTCCTCATTTCACATTCAACCTCATTTCTGTCAGTAAACTCACCACCTCCAACTCACTCTACTTAACCTTCTATTCTGACTTTTGTCTTATACAGGACTTGAGGCTGAAGAAGATGAGTGGTTCTGCTAGACTTTGTAATGGACTTTACCTCTTAGATATAGATCTTAAACCTAAAATCATCACTGCTGCTAGGGCCTCCCATTTTGATCTCTGGCACTTTAGATTGGCCATGTTTCCCACTCCAAAGTGCCATACCTATCTCAATTTTGTACCTCCATTGAAACTCAAAGAGATTTGCCCTGTGATGTTTGTCACTTTGCCAAGCAAAGAAGACTTTCATTTCCTGTTAGTCAATCTGTAACTACTAAACCATTTGAACTCCTACATGTTGATATCTGGGGTCCTAATCCCACTCCTTCTTTTGATGGTTATAGATACTTCTTAACCATTGTTGATGACTACTCTCGTATGACTTGGGTTGTCCTGTTATCTCTCAAATCAGAGGCTAGGCCTCAATTAATCACCTTTTGCAAACAAGAAGAAAGGCAGTTCCAAACCTCAATCAAAAGAATCAGGTCTGATCAAGGGAAAGAGTTTTACATGGAAGAATTCTTTGCTTCCACTGGAATTATCCATGAAATGTCATGTGTCCAAACCCCCCAACAGAACAGCAAGGTTGAGAGGAAGCACCAACATATATTAGCAGTGGCTAGGGCATTAAAGTTTCAAGCTGGTCTCCCAGCTGGTTTTTGGGGGGATTGTATTAAACATGCTGTTTTTCTAATAAACCGAGTCTCAACTTCCATTTTATCCAACAAAACTCCATATGAAGTCCTTCACAACAAACCTCCTAATCTTTCAGACCTTAAGGTCTTTGGTAGCCTCTGCTATACTAGCACCCTAGGACATAACATAACTAAGTTCCAGCCTAGAGCTAAAAAGGGTGTCTTCATTGGTTATGTTCCTGGTATCAAGGGGTACAAGATCTATGATCTTGAGACACATGACATTTTCATCTTAAGAGATGTAATTTTCTATGAAAATCAGTTCCCTTTCAAGCCTGACAACAGCAGTGATGATTCAACCAACCTTAACACTAGTTCTTCACCTAATGACCTTTTTCCTTTACATGTTCTTCCATATTCTGATACTGATGACCCCAGTCCTCCATCTGCTACTACACCTACATCTATCCAACCACCATTAACAGAACCTTCCTCCCCTTCATCAACTTATTCCACATTACCTTCCTCTACCTCCCCTACTGCATCCCCTTCCAATCCACCATCCCCCTCTCCTCCTAATCCATCACCACCTCTATCACCCTCCCCACCAGTACTCCCTACCAGAAAATCAACTAGAGTCTCCAAACCCACTGAACATCTTACCAAAAACTATCATTGCTACCTCCTGCACAAGTCTGGCAGCATTCATTCATCTACTCAGTCTCAAGTTCTCAAGACAAGGTACTCTCTTTCCTCTGCTCTATCTTATCAAAGACTTGCTCCTCATCATCGAAATTTTCTTCTAAACATTTCCTCCCATGTTGAACCAAATACTTACAAGGAGGCTTCTCTGTCTCCTGAGTGGAATGCTGCTATGCAGCTTGAAACACAGGCTTTGATCAAAAACCATACATGGGATATTGTGGAACTTCCCCCAGGCAAAAAACCCATTGGCAATAAATGGGTTTACAAACTCAAATTCCTCCCTACTGGTATTCTAGACAGATTCAAGGCAAGGCTTGTTGCCAAAGGTAACACACAACACGAAGGAGTGGATTTTCAGGACACCTTTGCACCTGTTATTAAACTGACCACTGTCAGGACATTCTTAGCAGTTGCAGCACTTCGCAACTGGCATATTCACCATCTAGATGTGAACAATGCCTTTTTGCATGGTGACCTAGAAGAAGAGGTCTACATGACACTGCCAAAGGGATATTCACCACCATCTGGTTTCAAGAATCCTGTTTGTCGCCTAAGAAAATCTCTCTATGACCTTAAACAGGCTTCGAGACAATGGTTCACCAAGTTACAAGATTATCTACTTCTTGAAGGTTATGTTCAAAGCACAGCAGACCATTCCTTATTCTACAAGGTCACTGACACATCCTACACATCTATTCTGATCTATGTTGATGACCTATTAGTTGGTGGTAATGATTAGGAAGAAATTGCAAGATTGAAATCATCTCTTCATTCCACATTCAGCATCAAGGATCTGGGTACACTACATTACTTCCTTGGTATTGAAGTGGCCAGGAACAGTTCCGGAATTCATTTATCACAGCGGAAATACACTTTGGAGATCATTGAAGAGGCAAATTTACTGGATTCCAAATCTGTTTCTACACCAATGGATTACAAGTTACATCTCAGTTCAGAATGTGAAACTACTTTCAAGGATCCAGAGTTGTATAGAACATTGGTTGGGAAGTTGATTTATCTAACTACAACAAGGCCTGATATCAACTATGCTACACAACAAGTCAGCCAATTCATGTCGAACCCTAGCACAGTTCACTACAAAGCAGTTGAAAGGATTCTTCGTTACCTCAAGTCTGCTCCCACCACTGGTCTCTTCTATCCAAGCAAAGGTTCTTTCTCCCTCAAGGCATACACAGATTCTGACTGGGCCGCATGTGTCGACACCCGTCGATCTGTTTCTGGTTATTGTGTTTATCTTGGCGAATCCATCATCTCCTGGAAAAGCAAGAAGCAGAAAACAGTCTCCCGCTCTTCATGTGAGGCCGAATATCGAGCCCTCGCCTTTACCTCTTGTGAACTTCAATGGCTGATTTATCTTCTTGCAGATTTCCAAGTTCACCTTTCACAGCCGGCGACCCTCTTCTGCGACAACCAGAGTGCCATTTATATAGCACAAAACCCAACTTTTCACGAGCGCACCAAGCACATCGAACTCGATTGTCACTTGGTGCGCGAGAAGCTCCAGAACAAGACCCTTAGGCTCCTCCATGTCTCTTCTTCCCACCAGCTTGCAGATCTTTTCACGAAGCCACTTTCGCCTGCTCCTTTCCGCCATCTTCTCTCCAAGCTTGGTGTGCACAATCTGTGCCCACCAGCTTGCGGGGGGTAACAGAGCAGCCAAATTGAAAATCAATTTTGACCGTTGGAGTCAACGCGGGCTGCTTGAAGAAGAAGGACTCTTGTTTGCTTGATACGCACCGTTCCGTGCCAAACTGCTGCGTTTCATTTATCACTGTCATTTGTTTTCTTTTCTGCCAAGTTTGTACTTGTTCCCCTTTCAAGCAAGACAGAACAGCGAGATGTAGGCTGTTCTTCATTGTCTTCTTCTGATGTACCAGACTATATAGTCCTTTGCTCAATGAGAATGAAAGTAAGTCTTCTAGGGTTTCATCCTCCTTTCAACTTCTTTGTTACATACAGATCAAATAATCAAAAATATCATGAGTGAACCAAGATGCGTACTTCATCGGTAACAACAGAGTCAAAACTCGAACTCACACTCACTCCCACCACCACCTAGCATCGCGATAGGTACGAAAAGCACGAACATTATCATCGTCACAAGGATGGACATGACGACCAGCGTTACGATTGCCTCCAACACCAAGTAGGAAATATATACGAGAATGGATATGAAGAGGCACCATAAAAGGACCTTATAATTCAAGAATCGACGTCTTCCCTTGGTAGGTGCTGCAGCAACACCTGTTTTGGTAGCACCAACTCTGCATTCACGTGGAGGAAAAAGGTTATGTTGTCAATAAAATGCCTCAAAATATTATTATCACTCAACTGCCTGTACACAAAAGAGCAATGCATACTCTTGAATCTTGTCAACAATGGGATTGTCACTTGCAGTCACCGACCTTTCCTCCATGTCTTCTGCAAGCTGTTAAACAAGACAAAGGACTTACAATGTTATGGTAAAAACCAAAATAAACAAAGATGACATAAAAAAGACCAAGAAGGAAGCAAATGAACTAGTACAAACTTAGCAACAAATAGAGGATGAAGCAGATTAATACACCTTTTGATTCGACAATGGAGCAACATCAGTCATGTTTGTGCTCGTTTCTCCTTTAGAAGGGGAGAGTTCGACGTGCTTTGGAGCAATTCGATCACCATTATTCGATCCATCTTTCATAGTGTCATTTAACTCTTCCTTCGCAATGTCATAGGCCGCCTTCATTATCTCATTGAGCTTTGCCTCTTCCATTCTTTGGAAGGCTGAAGAAAAGCCAGGGATTCTTGACTTGAATTTTGCAAACAATGCTTCTGCCTCCTTAGTGTTTGCTTTGATGTTTTCGGACAAGTTGCCCGTTGACTCAGCAGACACTGGCTTCCCCATCGTCGAAGTTGCTTTCACCTACATAAAAAAAAAATGCTGTAAGAATAATTCAATCCTACAGAACCTTCGCCTAATTGTTTAACAGAATAACGGGCAGGTCGGACCTCCTCCATAGCAGCAGAAATCTTCTCCTGGACACTCGTGGCAAGCTGAAACAACATGAGATTAATTACCCATAACCACTAAGCAGCCTTTATTATAATATAAGCTGCAAAAACTGGATTGCCTCAAGCAAAACCCATATGCTAGAACCTGCACAGCTTAATACCTTTTCAGCAGTTGCTTCCGTCTCTGACCGGAAGCCATAAGCACGCTTGCACAGCTTCACAGTTGTCTGCTTCATTCTACATTCAGCAATTTGGAACGGCGGTCACTTTTTTCTTTCCGTCTAAGCAGTAAATTTTACCACCAACAGATACTATATATGTCGCCATCGAAAGCAGAGAGCCGGGTAAAAGTTAACGTGGAGACATGTTTACGAGGAAGGATAAATTACCTTTTAACTTCTTCTTTAACATCATTGAACACACTAAACCTCCGGTGACTTGACGACCTACTAATGTCCACCAGCAACCTTGACGTCGTGCATAAACCCTAAACCACAAACGGAAAAAGTAGGTATAAGCTAAACCACCTGATGACGAACAAAACTCAGAATAATCGATATGAAAGGGAAAACCTGAGGAGACTTCAGTTGGAGGAGGAGAGGCTGCCTAGCCCGGACGAGAATTCTAGTTGCCATCTCAAGACGAACGGTGAAGCTGCTCCGGCGGAAGGATTAGAGAATTAATCAATTGTATTTAACGGACGAGAATTCCACAGTAGTAAACCTGAATTTCAAAGTATGACCCAACACTCTGAACTAATATGACTCGGCACGTAACTGTTTACTTGGCCAGCACTACTATGGGCCGAATCCGAATCCTCCAACGATAATAATTTGTATCCCAATCACTAAAGGGTAATAACTAAAAGAGTAATATTAAACCTGACCTACTACAATGACAAATTTAATATTATTGTAATATTAACAAAGTACAATTGTACAGTTATATCTATCACTTTTCTGACAAATATTGTAATTTCTTAATAATAACAAATATATAGTCGTATTAGGCTTAGGTTCATGTGCTTAAGCCCAAAAGTTTAAGCACGTACTTAAGCTAATTCTATTGGCTGTTAGTAAATTAGGTGGTTAATAAGAGTTATTAGTTAGTAAGTAGTTAAGGGTATTGAGGTAAATTATGTATTTTACTTATTTAAAATTTAACCTAACTCTATAATTAATTACAGAAAACTAAACTTGAACCCTAAAACAAATAAAGTCGCAGGTTAGGTTTTCTTATTTTCAGCGTCGTCTTCCTCCCAACAATCTCCCATCTTCGACTTTTCGAATTCCATCCACTCTCTTCCTTCGCGCCGGCGTTCCATCACAAACGCCAGGCGACGATCATCATTGAGGCAACGCCGACGATTGTAACCATGGATTGGCGGTCGTCGTTTCTCATCGCCGACCAGTCAGCGACAACGTCTCCCAGTCCCAGTCTGCTGTCTTCTTTGGGTCATCGTACTCCAGCTTTGGTCATCGTCGCTACTGTCGGCCAACAGTCCCCAATCTTCTCAGTCGCTCCCGTCGTCCAGCAACCCTCTGTTGCTTTTAGTTTCCATTATCAATTATTTAGGACGTATTAGTAATATTAATAATAGGTGGAAGTGGACAAAGTAATTGAAAATATTAATTAAGTGTTATCAATTTTATTAATTAGTAATTTCAGGTTTGCACGTAATCACGTTATGGGCTGCTAAACGGTAGGGTAACCGGTTTACCGTTTACCGTTTTACCGGTATCTGTATTACCGGAACTCCTTAAAAAGCCGCCCCCTGCCGCTACCCATATCCAACCGATATGCCAATTACCGATTCACCACGGTATTGGTAAGTGAAGTGCATCCCGATTTACCGACAGAAATGTCTCTGCTCTCTGGGCCATGGCGGCCTGGCGGGCCTGTCCGACTGTGAGCTGTCTGTCTGCAGTCTGCCTGTCCCTCTGAGTCTCTGACTCCCTGTCACTATCCCAATTGAAGAAGTAAAGAGGGGAAGGGAGAATTTCTTGGAAAGTGATGAGAGAAAGAAAGGCAGATGAGACAAATAAAAATAATTATACTCTTTAGTTTAGGGGTCTTTCTATTGTTTATATATATGTCTTAGGGCAAATATCACTCCATTGCGGCCAACCATTCCAAAATTCAAATGGTCAATTACTCAATTAAATTGAAAATAATAAAAAACCCAATTACCCAAATGTCAATACTCAATTGTCAAATACTCAAATCAAATGTCAATACTATTGTTTGTAAATTTGGAGGCACACAGCCACAATGGGCAGTCGGCTAATTAATTAAAAAAAAAACAAAAAAAATCTAACAAGTAAATTCCAAACATCAAATTGAAATATGAAAATACTTAAAAAAAATAAGATCAAATATAGCATTATAGTTGTACGTAGTACGTAGAATTCCAAATAGAGCAAATAGAGCAATCGGGTCTGCTGCTTCTAAATGTTTAAATTAAATTCGAAGACATGAAGATAAAAAATAGAATTACTAGTTCCTCACTTGCCACTAGGACCTGTACCACCAACATCAACAAAACATTGTTGCTTCAAAGTGGTGCGAAGGTTATCATCACCATTATCCTCCTCGTCCCGGTCCTCCTCATCCTGGTCCTCCTCATCCTCATCTGAATCCTCCTCCTCTTCCTCCTCCACCACAACAGGTAAACTTTGTTTGACACCTTCACTTGGCTTGGCATTAGCACTCTCCATTCGAGTTTGGAAGTTAGTAGTGACTAAGTGTAACAAAAAAAAATACAAATTGTTAGAACTTAGAATTCATCTAATAATATGTAATCAGAAACTGAGTAATGGAAAACTTAAAAATAAATGAAATTAAGAATTCTTACCACTTTCATAATCGATTTGGTCTTGATTTTCATCTTCTGTATCATCAACTTTGTCTGCTTTCTTTCCTCCTTCATACCTTATACAATCTTCAGCACAAATCAAGGCCTCTACAATGGTGGGGCTCAACGAAGACCTAAACGGACTGAGCACTCGACCTCCACAACTGAAAGCAGCCTCTGAGACAATAGAGGAGACTGGAACAGCTAGGATATCTTTAACCATCTGGGAAAGAATAGGATATCTAACGCTGTTCTTACTCCACCACAGCAAGATGTCAAACTTCATATCATTATCATCCTCGTTAATAGCATCAACAACATCTCTTAAGTAAATGTCTAGCTCAGAAGAACCTCAAATCCCCCTCTGTAGTTGCTCTTTTCTCATCTTGAAGAATTCAGCATCAAATAGTGATTGACCACTGGCTTCTTTCCTCTTCCTCTCACATGCCAAGTGATGTTGCTTCAAACCAGAAGTCCCGTTATTGGTCGAGTGAGCTTTGATCAACGTTCCACATTATTTGCATTTGCCATATGGGTAGTCATCCACCAGAACCTCATCATAAGGAGTCCACCACGGGGACTTCTTCTTCCTTTTTGTCACTTTCACAATTTTCTTTGCCTCGCCCACTTCATCTGCTCCCCTTCCCATATCAGTCACCTGTGTAGGTGTGGCAGCTGCAGGAGGTGCAGTAGCAGGTGGTGGAGATGTAATGGCACTGGTAGGTGTAGGTGTACTAGAAGAGACATTCCCTTGAATCCCTTCTGCAGCTCCAACACGAACACCCACTTTTTTGGAAGTGGTTCGAGGAGGAATGGAACCACCTTTTTTCGGAGCATCTCCTTTACGAGGACGAGAAGATTTCGTCCTACAACAAGAAGAAAAAATGTAAAAAATTAAAAACCATAAAATTGCCAACATGTAAAAAATTAAACCATTAAACAACTATCTTAAATCTTACATTTTTGTACTTGGTTTCTCAAGTAAATAAATTAGCACAAAACAATAAAAGTTCTTATGCTGGGATCAGGGGCTTTGCTCGGCTCTGCCTCTATGTAAACATGCAAAAATGAAAATTAAAGCAAACTAATTATTAATTATTAGTTAATAATCAAACAATTGAATTAAATTACTTGCTTTGCTTCATCAATTATTCAATGAAAATTGAGTATTGACAAATGACAATTATAGTATCAAACAATTGAATTAAATTTCTGCTCAACGTCAAGCTCTGTCGACACTATCGACTCGACAACTTTCCCAATTGTCCATTTATATAGGCCTAATGCCAATGGTCATGGACGAGGACGACAGCTTTCCCCTATTCTCCACGAAACGATCAACCAATGTCCAATGGTATCAACCATAATTTTTTGTCTCTAACAATTATAGTATCAGCCATAATTTTTTGTCTCTAACACATTACACAAATGCAAAGTAGGAAACAGAATTTGAATTTCATTGTTTCACGAAAGTCAGGGATCACAGGCACAGCGGAGAAGGGACGGAGACCGGAGACGGCGACAGCTAGGGCTGGTTGATTACCTCTAGCGACGGCGACGAAAGTAAGGGATCACAGCCGGACCGAAGAAGATTACCTCTACAATGGATGGAGACCGGAGACGGCGACGGTCTCACGGAGTTCAACGGACAGCGGAGCGGCGATGGGAGGAACTTGTCCGAAACAGAGCCTGGATTTGGGCTGCTGTCTGCTGAGTCCTGTTCCCGTCGCTAGTGATGGAGACGACGGGGTTCGACGGCTGGCGTGAACGGAGGAGGAGGGTTCGACGCCAACGACGATGAAGTGAACGGAGGAGGAGGGATCTGCGGTCGTGGACTCGTTCGTGGTCGTGCAGCAGTCAGGGCGTCGGGACAGGGGATGAAATTAGGATGGCAGGGCAGCTGGCTTAGATCGTTAGGGCTGCCTGGGCTGGGCTTTTTTAGGGTGGCCGACGTTTCGTTTTCTTTCTGCCGATCCGTGCGCGCTTGACAAAATCCCTTTCCCATTCGGTGTCGGATTACCGATAACCCGTCGGTAAATTGCAAGCCAGGTTCCGGCATACCGCCAGCCAAAAATTCTCATCTGCTCTCCGTTTTTTTTGTAACCGGTTTAACCGGTAACCGGTTAAACCGGTAGCCGCAAAACCGTTTGGCAGCCCTAATCATTATCATTTGTTTATTGACGAATTAGTTATAAAATATTTATGAGGTGTTAATCTAAGTTATTGCGCGTATTAATGTTTTCATCATGACTCGCTATAACACAACTCCTAACAAAGGCCAAGTGTAACCAATGAAAGGGACTGCAGTATAGTGGCTCAAGTGATAAATATCGAATCCACGGGTCTCTAGAGTTACTATTACTCAGCTTCAGTTTATTATTTAGCAAATCAGATTAAGATGAAAGAACTAAAACTACTCTAGCAAACTACAGTTAAAGTTAATCTAATTACAGGTTGGGAACTCACTTAGGTATGATTCCCCCTAGCCACTAGCCAGATTAATGATTGATGATCTCTAACCTGTTTCACTTTCATTCACAATGCGGAGAATCCTTGACTAGACCTTGAGTCTCGACTAAAGGAACAAGGCCCTCTTGAGTCAATTGCCTAGAGGGACGTATCCTTCTCTAGAACAACTGATCAAGGCGTTCTGAACTAGATTCCCTCTATCGAAAGAGGTTCTCAATCGATACAAAGCAGTGAATCAACCCTCGACTAAAGCAATCGATCCACTACTATCAATCTATGGTGCTCTATTGACCTAATCAGGTATTCCCTCTCATAGAATCAAAGCAGAATCAATAATCTCGACTAAAGCAGAATTGAATCATGAAAACATGCATAGATTGAATATGAACTCAAGATTATCCAGTCAGAGTACTCATACAATCATCCAATCAAACAAACATAGCTAGGGTTCCTCAAAACCTAAGTGAAGGGAAGTTACTCCATAGAGAAGAGAGAGACTGCAGTAAGAATCTTCAGATGATCAGTCTTCAAGTCCAGGCTTGTTCCTCGAGCTTCCAAGGCGAAGAAATCCTCCTTCTCTACTCCAAGAATGCCCTCAAATCGCCCTCTCTCTCTAGGGTTCGTCCCTTGGGTGTTTGGGATCCAAAACCCAGCTCTCCCTCTCCTTTGGTTCGGAATTTGGCTTAAAACCAGGAAATCCCGACTCGCACGGCCAGGGTGCACGGCCGTTCATATCACCATTCTGGCCGTGCAACTCAAAACGCAGCGTGTCATTTAGTCGAACTTCAGCCCTCTCGCACGGCCAGGGTGCACGGCCGTGCGAGCTTCAGGGGTTGCCCGTGCGTGTCCTCGGCATAAGGCGCACGGCCATATTGCTCACGTGCACGGCCGTGCAGCCTCCCTGGTCTGCCCGTGCAGCTTGCTCAGCCTCTGTTTAATGCTTCGTTTCTCCCTCGTCCGGACTCCGAATCAGTCGCCGTTTGATCCCAGACGCTCGTAGTCTCGTCCTCTTTCGTTTCATAACAAGCTTGCATGCTTCTTTGTCCATAAAGTGAGGTAGAAATCCATTCTTCTTCAGGTCATGCCCGAGTTTCCTCTCTCGAATCGTCAATTGATCTCTGATTGACTTGAAACTTGCGCCTATGCTTCACTTTATGTGCTAGGACCTGAAATGGGACAAAGGAACACAACCTAGCATAAAATAGGCCACAACACACGAATATGCCCCTCAAACGGATAAGAACTAGGGGCGCAAACATGTGCAATTACATCGTTATCACATCATCAATTATTTATATACAGATTAGTAATTTACTATAATTTTGGTCGACTTGTTAATGTTAGTTAAGTATAATGAACTTTATTAATTAGTAATGTCATTTTTGCATGTAATAAAGTTTTCATTATCAATTGTTTGTGAACGGATTAGTAATATAATATTATCGATTTGTTAATATAAGTTAAGTGTTATCAATTTTATTAATCTTGTTTTTAAAGAGTATGGTTCCTTTTAGTATTGTTAACATAATTGTTGTGGTTTCTTTTAGTTATTTTATATATCTCAATGTTTTTGTATTAGTAATATATTTGTTGTCGTTCTTAATGTTTTAAACTTATCATTGCTTTGTTCGTGTATTAGTAACGTAGTTTTTGTGATCTGTAATGTATTTGTTGTTCATTTTCAATGAATACTTTTTCGTTATTAATGATTTGTTTCATTATTATTAAAGGTTT